GCTTTGATGGCGTAAAGTTTTAATGGCGCCTTCACTTCATCCGGTATGGCAACTCTGCAATGTACCGGTCAAATGTGTCCTCTTCGTTTCTAAATGCTCAACTAGAGGTATGGAATTGTACAATCGATAGGTATGTATATGGTATCCACGGTTCCAATAGGGTTTCACTAATTGCGATATGGTACGGGAAGTTTTCGATAATCCATCAGCAGGAACTTGATCATCAGTCTGGCTGTAATACATTTTTATATTCAACATATATCCAGTCGTGTCTGCCAAAGTTCGAGCAAGTATCCCCCATTTTGTCGTTTTTTTAGGACAGTATTGTCTGAAACAAACACGCCCTTTGAAACCTATCATGCTTTCGTCGCCCGATATATTCTGAAATGGCACAAAATAGTACTGTGATTTTTTTACAATGTCATCCACGATTGGTTGTATTTTGGCTCCTTTCTGAGGCACAGGTTCATTAGGATCTGTGTGTGCCACATGTAACATTGTGTGGAAAATAAGGCAAAATCGATCACGGTCCATTGCATCCCTGAAGAACTGACGGCCGATGTCCATTCACCTGTCCAGTATGAGTCTACGTATGACTTCTTTACAATACCCATGTTCAACAGAATGCCTATAAATCTGTGCATCTCATGCATGTTAGTGTCCTTCCATCGCCGTAAACGGGATTTAGGTTTCAGAATGGTATTCTGTATCTTCTCCGCAGCATAGCGGTTTATTTCAGTAACCAATTTAGTCATCAGTTCATCATCAAAGAAGAGTTTCAAAAAATCAACGGCCTCTGGTTCGTTGTCCATTAGATGATCAATATTTCGAGGGCCTGGATCATCTTCTGGTGTAAATCTATGACGCGTAGGCCCTATATCATTGACTGTAACATCGGTCCACTGTCTGTCTGGTTGGACAATACCACGGTTTCCCACACCACGGCCTGTATTTCCTCGAACCCTTGGGCGTCCGCGTCCACGACCTCGTCCACCACCCCTTATTACTGGGGCTTGGGTTACCTGTGCTTGAGTGGCTTAACCAGTAATACTTTCATCAGAATCTGAACTGTTACTCATATTAGAACCATGATAGTCACTAGAAACTTCGTTATCGTTTTCAATATGATCTGATTCTGAAATAATATCTTGTGCATGGTAAGAACCCGCTTCTGATTCACTTTCTCCTGAAGATAAAACATTATCTGAGCCCTGATTATCAGCTACGAAACTGTCTTCAATGTCTGCTTCTTGTAAAGATTCTTCATCATCCGAATCGTTCATATCATTCAAGGCTGAAAGTGCTTGCTCCACAGTCAGCCTTCGTCGGCGTGAGGGGGCCTCCATGTTATATTTACTTGAGAAAATTTGATAAATCTTCGGTTGAAATTAAGGTTGAAACATTTTAGTTGAACATGGAAAGACGGCATCCATTGTTGTTATATTTACTGGAAGAAGATAGCCTCTATCGATTCGTGTCAACCCGCCTCACGGCGGTATTCGTGGCAAAATCAAAATTGAAAATCCGCCTGAGGGCGGTAAACGCGCGGAAAGGGTTAATATCTTGGAAGATTCGTCGACAATCAAAAATCAAAAGTAGCACAGCTATGTACCTTGTCTCCGACTATATCAAAATGCGTCATATGTTAAAATTCGATGATTATTGTTAATACTATGGCATTTTTTAAAAAAAACCCAACAAATTCGCTGATTTCGGACATTTTGCATTGTCACAGAATGCTCAAAATAGCTTTAATCTTTAAGTCAAACCCACTTTTCTAATAAAACCGAAGAAATTGTATCAATCCGACATGCAGTTTCTGAGATACAATCTATTCTAATTAGAAAAAAAAAAAAATTATAAGAATAATCTTAATGAAAACAATAGTGTTTCACACAAGCTACACAGTGTGAAACTCTAAATAGGTACTCTTGCAAAAATGGCGATTTCCATGTCGGATGTCACTGAATCAAAACAACTGAAGTATCGTTTCGTAGCTCAATGAGTGGGCTATTGTATGACACTCTTCCCGTCTGATTCCTGAAAGTCGGTTCAGTGCTGTTTGCAAGTCTAGTTCTTCTTATTATTTTTTTCCTCTTGAGCATATCTCCGAAATTACTTGTCAGATCAATTTGATGTCTTCGGTTTTACTTGAAAAGTGGGTGTAACTTGGAGATGAAAGCTATTTTGAATTTTCTGCAACAATGCGAAATGTCCAAAATCACCGAAGTTGTCGTTTTTATACAGCCACATTGAAATGTGGTCGTATATTGTTGTCGCCCCCATCCGGCTCTATAGACTAAGGTTAATATCCGATTGACTTTAAATTTATACACAGTGTTTAAGGTTATCAGAGTTATGGCCCTTGATCACTTCAAAAAATCTTGTGGGCGCTCTAGAGGTCAATGTTAATATCCGATTGACTTTAAATTTATACACAGTGTTTAAGGGGATGAGACAAAGAAGCCTTTTGATTTTCAGGGATTTCCGATAATTACTGCTAGAGTTATGGTCCTTGATCACTTTGAAAAATCTTGTGGACGCTCTAGAGGCTAAAGTTAATATCCGATTGACTTTAAATTCATAAACAGTGTTTAAAGTCTTGAGACGAACAAGTATATTGATTTTCAATGAATCTTTATGACTTGAACAGCTAAATCCATGATGTTAAAAGTTTCGTATACTAAACGTTAGCATGGGGCAGAACTTTACAAAAACCAAACAAATTCTAATGGTTTTCTGATAATTACTTAATGAGTTGTTACTCTTAATCAGATTTTAATGTATTATAAATGTTTCATTACCAAAAAAAGTAAAAATATGCGACAACTCTTGTTGACTGCCCGGGCAATATAGCTGCTGTGCGTTTTTGTTTCGTTTCCTGGCAACCGATCTTTTGAAATATTGCCGTAATATTAACAATAGTCAGTTATATAGAAGGACAACTGGTGTTTGTCATGTTTGACGTCACTTCCCGTTTCTTCACGTGCTTGTTACACATCTCCTGTAGCAATAATCTCTTCGTTAAAATTATATTTGGGATGCATTTAACGAGCTCTATCACATATTTTATAATGACTGACACCAATATTGCCTTTAAAATGAGTCTGTCTGTCCGTCCGTCACACTTTTTGGGACACAATAACTCTCCTTTTAATTGAGGTAGAATGTTCAAACTTGGTGTGGTATTTATTAGGTCAATGCCTTGATAGAGGTCAAAGATGAGCATTTTCTGCTTAGGGTAAGCAGAGATAAGCAATTCGATTGGTTGGTGCTTTGGGACACGATAACTTTAGTTCTAATTAAGTGAGAGTGATGAAACTTGGTGTATAGTTTCATTACATCAATACCTTGACTAAGATCGATAATGAGAATTTTCTGCTCAGGGTAAGCAGAGCGATAAGCAATTTGATTGGCCGAGACTTTGAAACACAATAACTCTCCTTCGAATTGAGGTAGAATATTCAAACTTGGTGTAGGTGTTTATTAGGTCAATGCCTTGATGGAGTTCGAAGATGAGCATTTTCTGCATAGGGTAAGCAGAGATGAGCAATTTGATTGGTTGATGCTTTGGGACACGATAACTTTAGTTCTAATTAAGTGAGAGTGATGAAACTTGGTGTATAGTTTCATTACATCAATACCTTGACTAAGTTCGATAATGAGCATTTTCTGCTCAGGGTAAGCAGAGCGATAAGCAATTTGATTGGCCAAGACTTTGGAACACAATAACTCTCTTTCGAATTGAGGTAGCATGATCAAACTTGGTGTACATGTAGGTGTTTATTAGGTCAATGTCTTGATGGTGTTTGACGATGACCATTTTATGCGTAGGGTAAGCAGAGATAAGCAATTTGATTGGTTGATGGTTTGAGACACGATAACTTTAGTTCTAATTAAGTGGGAGGGATGAAATTTGGTGTATAGTATTATTACATCCATACCTTGACTAAATTTGATAATGAGCATTTTCTGGTCAGGGTAAGCAGAAGTTAAGCAATTTGATTGGTCGAGACTTTGGAACACAATAACTCTCATTCTAATTGAACTAGAATGTTTACACTTGGCGTATGTGTTTATTAGGTGAATGCCTTGATGGAGTTCGAAGCTGAGAATTTTCTGCTTAGAGTAAGCAGAGATAAGCAATTTGATTGGTTGATGCTTTGGAACACGATAAATTTAGTTCTATTAAGTGAGAGTGAGGACACTTGGTGTATAGTTTTATCGCATCAATACCTTGACTAAGTTTGATAATAAGCACTTTCTGATCAGGGTAAGCTGAGCGATAAGCAATTTGATTGGTTGATACTTTGGAACACAATAACTCTCCTTCTAATTGAGGTAGAATGTCCAAACTTGGTGTAGGCGTTCATTAGGTGAATGCCTTGATCTAGTTCGATGATAATCATTGTCTGCTTAAGGTAAGCAATGATAGGCGATCTGATTAGTTGATGCTTGGGGCACGATAACTTTAGTTTTAATTAAGTGAGAGTGATGAAACTCGGAGTATAGATTCATTATATCATTACCTTGACTAAGTTCGATGATGAGAATTTTTTGCTTAGGCTAAGGAGCGATAAGCAATTTGATCAAGACTTTGGAACATAACAACTCTGCTATTAATTGAGGTAAAATGTTGATGTAGATGTTCATTAGGTGAATGTCTTGACTGAGTTCAATGATTAACATTTCAAGCCAAAGCTAAGCGGATCTAAGCAATTTCATTGGTCGATGCTTTAGGACAAGATAACTTTGATTCTATCGGATAGAGAGTTAGGAAACTTGGTGTATAGTTGATAATTAGTTTGATTGCTTAATAGTTTTGAAATAAAATAAATATGCGATAAATTAATATGTATCATCTATTTATTTCGGGATTTTGGCGGGGACATCAGCCTCACTGTTGGGCTTGTTTATATAACATTTGAGGCCAAAAGAAAGACCTGAAATAAGCAGATTTAGCTATATAATGCATCTTTAATCTTAGTATGTTATTTTAGTCTACCTTGATTCTGGATGTGGCAATACACAACTTCTAGAACACAGTATAATCTATGTACATAATCGCCATATAAACAAGACCCGTACACCACCTAGACGATGTGATCTCATCTTTGATTATATTGGAGAGGATGAATATCCAGTCTGTGTGACAATGAATTTTGATAGAAATCGTCTGCCTAAGAATGATGACACATGTCCATTCAAAGTGACCATTTTGGAAGGTCAGTCAACGACAGTAGCTGAAGTAATAGATGTAAGTGTTGCAAGTTAATTATGTTATTTACTAGTAAAATATATATGGCTCTCTATATCTCTCTATAGCCCCGTTCATTCAGCCACATTTTGTATCTATGCTAATTTACACATGTATGCAAATATACTCATGTGTGCAAAAATATTTTTGCAATGCATTTATACACTGTTTGAATACCATGAGTATATTTGTAGTGATCAATAAAAGTCATTCCTTTTTATATCCCACATTTTCATGTGATGTATATTGTCGACGCACCTGTCTGTCACTCTACAGGTCACAATCTTTATCCGATTTTGATGAAAATTGAAATATAAGTTTATATCCCAAAGATCTAGGTTCCTTTCGATATCGGCATGTATTGGACCGTAACTTCATGAATTATGGCCCCTGATTGTACGAAAAATCATGTTTGTAGCTTGTGGACCCTCTAGAGGTCACAATTTTTATCCGATTTTGGTTAAACTTAAAATGTATGGTTATTACCCAAAGATCTCAGTTCCTTTTTATATTCAAACATACTGGACAGTAACTTCTTGGATTATGGCCATTGATTGAACGAAAAATCACGTTATTAGTTTGTGAACTTTCCAGAGGCCACAATTTTTATCTGATTTTAAAAACCATTCAATTATATCACTGTTACACCATAATGATGGTTGAGTACGAAAACTGTCTGACAAAATGGCAGCTACCGATATGCAAATCTGTAAAAGTGTGTAATACCAAAGTTGTGGACCCTTTATAGGTCACAAGTTTTATCCGATTTTGATAAAACTTAAAATAAATGTTTATATTTCAAAGATCTCGGTTCCTTTCGATATTCATGCATATCAGACCGTAACTTCCTGGATTATTGACTCTGATTATATGAAAAATCACGTTTCTAGTTTGTGTACCCTCTAGAGGTCACAATTTTTATCCCGATTTAAAAAAACATTTAAATATACTAAACAGCAAAAAAAAACCAACGTCAATACAATTTCAAAATCAGAGAGTAGGTGTCACAACTCCATTGCTCGCGTTGGAAGAAAGTGTTTTTTTCCCAATATCTAACCTTTTTTAAACTTAAGGTCACATAGTCGCTGTTTAATCTTTTGCAATATTTTAAACATATTTTGAAAGCCAATTTCTTATTGTTTTGTTTGATATATTTTTTATGAACCTGATCATATTATTAATTTCATAAACAAACATAAGTTGAAAAACATCAATTTTGCGTGTTTTGACGTTACGGTAAATAATTTTGTCACGTTTTGAAACGGGCGTACCCCATTTCAAGTGCTCAGCGGCATTTGTCATTTTTGATATATTTTTTTCATTTTGATACCATTAGAAAGATAACTGAACTACCTCTCGATCTGTCAGGGGTGGAATGTTGGCATTTAAAAATACGATGTATATTTTTCAAGTTGAAAAAACAATTCACGCTCACTTTTTATGAGGCAATTTGTCTAGATTATACCCTGACCGATCGAAAGTTTGTTTTATTGCCGTTCCGATGCTATTAAAATCATTAAAATCGGAGCATGTTAAGTACTGCTGTCAAGCACTTGAAAATGGTATACAATGTGACTTTTTGTGAACAAATAAACCTTGTAGTGTTTTTTGTTATAACGTCATAAGACACGGCGAAGAAAAACTGTATTTCAAGTTCCCAAGACCCATATTCGAAATGCAACTGAATGTTCATTTATGAAGTAAGCGTTATGTTATATGAATAAAGGACCTAACCAAAAAGAGTTAATTCCATTTATTTTCACGCCTTTTGCAATGGCGACTGTGTTGACATCACGTGACTCATATTCCCGCGCTTCTACACCGAAAGGAAATTTTCTCCCAGCTACACACGTCTTTACATTTAACACCAAATGTTTTTCAACAACAATTGAAATATTCCGTAGCATTGACGAGTATTTCAATGTTCTGGAATAAAAAATTTGCTTTTCTGTGAATTATTCATGCCTAATTTAAAGCATTTACTCTGCACACAAATGGAATTGAAACCAGAAAATATCAACACGACACGGGTCTCGGAGAACCATTATTACATTCCGCAGGTGAGGGAAGACAACTTAATACGGATAATACATACGATTTCTATCCACTTAAAAGGGAATTATATCCAAATAAAGCTGAACAACAAAAGAATTAACGCTAGCTAAGAATAATTTAAAAAATGGCTCAGATTCTGGATTTTTCATTTGAGGTTGAGATGATTGAACCGACATAAAATTAGGTCAGTCATATCAATACGTATACCAATTGTCACAAAACATTTTATTAAATAATTTAGCATTATAGTTGTCATACTGATTATTATAATTTTAATTCTTTGTTTTCTTTTGGTAAATATATTTAACACCTAATTATAGGTTCTCTATATTTATTGGCCAGTTAAACAAATTTAAATTACTGACAAACGTAAGGCCTTAAGGCCTTGTTGATTTGATATTCACATTGATGAAAATGTACAAATTAAAAAGGAAGAAGAGTCATACGGATTTGAATGAATAATGAAAATTCAAAAGTGAAAGATACATTATGTAAGATTTCGAAAGTAGATGATGTAAAATGAATAATTTGAAAATTTCATTCAAATTACTCTATTGCAAGCGAAGATATTAGCCTTTGAAGGTTTGACAGATGTGTGCAATAATTTCAACCACCGTACTGGTTGATCGAAGCTAAGTCTCGGTCCTCCATATATGATTAAATCAAAGTATCGCTGAACCATTCTAATCTATTTAATATCGGAGAAAACTGATGCCATCGAGAGTTGATTAAGGCCTGGATCAGTTAATTAATGTCTAATTAATACTTTAGAAAACATTTCAGACCTAAAGAAAGACCTGCAATAGGCAGATTTAGCTCTTGCATAATGCATGTTGAAGTAAAAACAAAACAATGCCAATTCTTTCAGTCAAATCATCGTATTATCTTTGACCACATACTATCGTGGCTTTCAGTTATAGGCCTTAACACTACCGTAGTCTATCGATAGCCTACTTTTTGAGAATTATGCACCACAAAATTAACTTCTACTGAGTAGAAAATAATATGTCAAAGTAGAATTCTTCTTGTAACATGTAGGCCTACATGAAAGCAACGAATGCTGAGAACAATAATGACAGTGAAACAGTTATGTTATTTTTAAAATTATGTAGTGTCTATGGCAACCACCCAAAGTCCTTAATATTTTCCTAAAATTACACAATTCATAATATTTTATATTGCATGTGTTATAAGTATATGCTAAAATGCTTACTGGTATCATACTTAAACTGTGGGGATCAATTGCAATTCAGTATGGTAAACACCATTGAAAATGGTATAAACATTGCATTTTTGTTGGTTTGTTTTTCGTTTTGGTTACCGGTTATAACATCCAAATATTAAGTAGTATACAAGAGTAAAGACATGTAATTTAAAAATTCACAATCACAAATGGGCAATTTGCTACTGAGGAATATTTTTCAAAAGTAAAACCCCTTTCCTGCTGTTGAGAGAAGGCATACAAATATTTTGATTTTAATGATTTTTTAAAATCTTACCTGATAGCTTCTGATTTTAAGATAATACAATTATCAATATTGATGTCATAAATATTGGAAAATAATGCTTTTTGTAAAAAAAATAACTGTGGTTGCTATGGTAACAACTCAAACTCCTTCATATTTTTCTCAAACTTAAACAATCCATATAATTTGATATTGCATGGGTTTCACATATTTTAAATTGCTAACTTTAAAATGTGGAGATCACCTTTTGGGATATGGTAAATAGCGTTGAAAATGGTCGAAAATTGCATTTTTTTCCATTTTGGTTGCTATGACAACCAAAATTGATAAAATATGGCGGATTAGTAGTATGTAATTTAAAAAATTCACAAACTTTTTGACATGTTCACATAATTTCACTTATGTATCTCCATTCCTTCTTATTTTATTAATGTCCAAAAATAGGCAATTTGCTCCCGCAGAAAATTGTTCAAAAATGAACATATATCCTGCTCTTGAGAGAAGGCATATGAATATTTTTTCTCTTTTTTTCCCCTGTTAATCTTACTTGATAGCTACTGATTTTAAAATGCATAACAACCAGGTTCAATATTTCAGATATAACATGGACAGGACAATTTTTGATGAGAGAGAGAGAGAGAAATGGGGTTTAATGTCCACTCGACACAAACTAGGTCATTTTGGGACTAACATATGGTTTTTAATTTTATTTACATAATTCGCTTGCGCGCAGGGGTCTTTTAGCAGTGGGAGGAAACCGGAGGACCCGGAGAAAACCCACAAGGTTGGACAGGTGACCCTTCTTCTTGTCACGTACAACCGGGGATTCGAAACCACGCCAGTTGACTCAATGACAGACTTTATGATACAGCGCGCGCACACTAACCATTCAGCCATCCAACCCCCCAATTTTTGATGAAAAAAAAATTGACCAAAATCACTGTGACAAAATAGAATTTTTGAGAAAACCTATGTATTTTGGAGTTGCTTGGGAAATCAGAGTAATTGTTACAAAAATGTGAAAATCAAAACATAATTAGCCTTAAAGTTGTATTTCAAGAATTTACATCTACATTTTTGATAGGTTAGCTATGACATCGCAAAAAACACCAATAAAACCTTCCTTCCGCGAAAAGTCACAAATCGCAACTTTGAGCCTTCATAAAAAAAATAATTTTCAAAGCAACCAGGCCATTTATTTGCTGTTTTGTCGTTGGAAATATCTTTCCATGGGTTTTCAGGGGTGCTGAAGACGAAAATCGTAATAAAAGTTTGATCCGACTATTTCAGCAATTTATTTGCTATTTTGTCATTTTTATACACCCACATTGAAATGTGGACGTATATTGCCGTCGCCCCCATCCGTCCGTCCGTCCGTCCACAATTGTTTGTGAACAGTCTACAGGTCACAATTTTTATCTGACTTCAATGAAACTTGAAATATAGGTTTATCACCCGAAGATCTCGGTTCCTTTCGAT